TCTCTCTCTCTCTCTCTCTCTCTCTCTCTCTCTCTCTCTCGACGGGAAGAAATGGGCAGCAGAGAGGAAAGAAGGAGCTACGTACGCATATATAAGGCATATGTGAGTGAGTGAGATGATGTCACCGCGGCCGGGTGCACATCGTGACGTTATCACTTAATTTTAGACCACCGTATCTCTCATTCAAATTTGCGAGGCACCGCTGTCTCGCAGCGTCGTCGTCGAGGTTCGAATAAGCTCGCGAAAGCTTTAGAGCGCGATGTAATCAATGTTACTAAAAACTTGTAGCACTAAATATATTAAAGATAATACATATCTGTTACGTGATAATTTTATGAATAAAGTTTGTCCGACAAGTCCGCAGAATTTTTTTAGAGAACTAACATATCTTCTTTTAGACTTATACCACAAGTTGGAAGAAATTATAATATGATGTCGCATAATTACATTATTCCATAAACTTGACATTAATTCGGGATAATAACTGCATATATACGAATAGCACGTTCAATCATGATGTACCTGCATAAATTATAATCTCGAGTACAATATCTCGGGTTCTATACATATACTTTGCTCGCGTGTGACCGTACGAGTGTCACGCACCGTTAACAACGATGGCTTTAATGACTTGTGCATGGCGTGTGTTCAAATGACACAAGTCGCGACGGCGATTCGCCGAAGCTCAAGTACTTGACAACGGTCAATTCTTTCGTGTTTTGAGGATGCTCACACTTTGCTATTGAGCATGCACAAGTACGTTTAATTTGTGCACCAATGGCATTTCTTGTGTCACTTGTTTGCTTCTCTGCTTTATGAATGCTCTTTGGGCTTCTTTTGCCGTTGGCGCGAATAAATAGCGTTTTATTTATATATAATTTGTTAAACTCGGATAAAGTCGCGGGAGAGGAAAACTAGCTAGACACAGACGTCAATCTTCGACTTTCTGGTAAAATTATCTTAGTTTATTAAGCTTACCAAGAAGTGAGAAGGGTCTCATATGAGAGAACCATTGATTTGATTAAAGCCCCTTTGCTCCAACACCAAATGTGAAAGGATCCCAGACGCAACTTGGAGCACGTCAATAGCGCGAGTTCACGCTTCTATAGTATCAAAAAGGTTTGTCACACTTGGATTTGTTAATAAATATCCGTAAAATATCGATGCAAAGAGGCGCGCAAATTTTTTTCTTTTCATGTGCACGGCATGAAATAAAATTCCATAAATCTTATAATGAAAACATGAATTGAAAAAGCAAACAAAAAAAAAAAAAAAGAACAGCGAGACGCTCATATGATGAAAGCGCGAGTTGACCAAAAATTTACCCTTTCACCGCGCGCGCGGGCAGATAAATGTCCCGGGTTGAAAGTTCTCTCTTGTTAGCCCGAAGGTCAGTGTCCGTGTGTAACGAGCAGTAGTCTGCTAGTAATCCCCGTGAACCATACCAATAAAGATAGGTTCGTTCTTGACGCCGTTAAGACGTCTTTTTATTGCCATCGATATGACCGTTCAAGCATCGAACGAGGTAATCCAATATTTGTCATCAGAGAAAAAACGAGATATCTACAAAAGTAAAAAAAATATCCACATGCAGAAACTAAATCAAGTAAACAAAGAAAAGAGAGTAAGCATAGCAATTTAAAAAGCAAATTTTTTTTCTTTAATATTTTATACATTTCAACTAATGCACGTGAATATATTTCCATCATGAACGAAAGCAAATGACTACTGAAACTCGAGTTTGCGTATCTATCGGGCGTCACCGGTCGCATCCTGCCTATTGTGAAAGTATATGTACCCCATTAGCGGTAATCCGATATTTCTAGAACGCAATTACGCGCGGTAAAAAGCAGTTTCAACAAACCGAATTTAATTGAGTGCGCTTGTACGGGAACGGCGACGTGCTCTCTATGTTTAGATAACCGCGCTATCGATTCATCAAGATACTCTTATAGACGTCTCACGTCGCGCGCGGTTGATTCTTCACAGACGAATTTTTTTTTTTTTTTTTTAAGTAATTAACACTTTGCACAATCGGAGATTCATATTGCCGTTACACTGAAAGGGAAAGCGCACTGCAGCGAAGTGAAACCGACGATCCGACCGCTTTGTACCGTTCGAAGTGTGTTTTGACCTTAACGCACGTACATCCATAGGGCATAGCAGAAATCGTTGCTTTCTCTCACAGTTACTAATTTTCCGACATGTTTTACCAGTCGTACGAAGAGTAGGAAGACAGAATATGTAATGAAACAAAAGTAACAATTTAATAAAAGGCACATACTTTTGTTAACAACACATATATAATGTACATTTTATACATCTAATTACAACATATATGTATAAGGAACAAGAAAAAACTGCTTACTTTTCTAAAATGTCTTAATTAGAAGGTATTTTTTTAATTTTTTACACTTGATTGACAATGTCTGTATTGTCTGTGTAGCCAACGCCGCCGTACACGTTGAAAAGTTTGGAACGTCAGAAAAACGTCAGTTATCATTTGAACAGCGATAATGAAAATGAACGCCCGTTTATCGCTTATATATATTTCTCGCTCGTTTCTCAGAGGGAAACTCGTTCTGTGCTCCCCCGTTACACGGTCGAAAAATGAAAGAAAGACGTACTCGCTCCAGTTGAGTAGAAACTATAGCTCCAGAACAAATATTATGCTAATGCGACAGAATTGTAGCATCGCAGTATAGTCATTGCCACGAAACGGAAACAGAAATCGTGTTACGTTGCTGGAAATTGTAACTTGGCCTGGTCACTGAAGGAGAACGCGCGTGTTGGCTTTCTCCAAGGAGCAAAAGATCAGGCAGAAGTGTTAATTTAATCTAACGTCGAGTATAAAGGTGATGTTCGCGTAATTACGTATTTGAAAATTCCGTAATGTTATTCCTTGTTCCAACAGAGCAAAAAACGTGTGCATATCTGCACGCACAAAATATCCTTCGTTACAGTTTCATGGCCACGTGTGCGTAGTACGCATGTGTGTGCATTTATATGAGCAAACGCACCCCAACACGTAGTATACAGTTTATATAATGAAATATTAAAACGAATTAATATTGTTGATAATATTTGTTTGCAACCACCTAGAAATATAAATAAAAGTAACTCTGGAATGTAAAGAAAATGTTTAAAATTCAGATAAAATATGAACGTACTTAGCCGATCGTTAACAACGATATAACAGTAAAGTATTATATATTGTTTCTTGTGTGTGTGCAGGCCTCTATGGATCTACCACCGGATAAAGCGAAACTTTTGAAACAATATGACAACGAAAAAAAATGGGACATCATATGCGACCAAGTGAGTACATTATACATTATTCAGAATAATCTCAAGATGAAGATTGAGATGGAATCGTAAATAAAAAAATCAGAGATCGGAATCGATGTAGGAAAAATAATACAAAAGATACGTGACCTATTTATCGTATTTTCTTTTTACATTATTACCATCGTTACTATTATTATTGATGAGATGGTAAAATTCTATTAATTTTATTCAACGTTTATACGGCATTTTTATCGCGGCACCGATAGACTTTTTTTTTAATCGGCAATATCGGCATTACAACCATTAGCTATATAATAAAATATAATGAAATAATTCAAAATGAAAAGATAGAAGTGCATTCTCAAGGGATAATCGCGAGTCACGGTTCATTCCGATGCTTGAGCCAGCCTGTAGAACATATGCGTAACACAAGACGGATGTAACGCAAGCCATGCTATTATACGGTGCGGCCTGCAAAAAATACGCAGCATCCCTTTTCACGACGGCATTCATGTATGTACTCGTAGCCATGTTCCCGTCTCCAAATGTTATTGGCGAGGCCGCTTCACAGACAGTACGTCATATGTAGAAGCTAATCTTTGCAAGGCTCAGTTTGTCGGCAACGACAAACGGGATATCTTTCAGAACTTTCAGAACTTGGAAAATCTAAAAAAGTCTTTTTCTTTCAAATCTGCTCCTCTTAATTCCAACTGCCTGTAATTATCTAGTGACAGGGAGGGTGAATAAACACTGGCACTGGCATCTCGAATCGCTTTAATCGTAACAAAAATTATAATTAATAATAATTCAGTATTACGTCATATATATATATATATATATATATATATATATATATATATATATATGTATATATATAATTTGTGTCATTTTGCTGTGGTGGTTTCAAAATTAACGCTTTAGCATTAAAGAGTTGTAAATGTCAACGTATTATTTTTTGGGCGAGATTGTGGATATTACGTGAATTTGAAAGGTTCATATGAAATCGTTTGTCACAATATTTATATTTGCAGGAAAGAGTACAAGCTAAAGATCCACCGTCCCATTACCTGGCCAAGTTACGTACTTACCTGGATCCCACAGCATCGCGAAGCCATCGAGTACGTTGTTTTATTTTATTTTTTTATATCTTTTTGTCTCCAATATTATTTTCTCGAATATTAACGCATGGATTCAGGATTATTCATTGTATTTCGTTACTTTTTATTTACACATGTGTTGATATAATTAATTTTTCGAGCAAAATTAAATATATATTTTAAAAACACGCTCACTGCATAAACAACACCAATATGTCTATTTGACACTCACATATCACATATTATTTATTAAGGTGTTTATGCACGTCAACATATGTTATTGCGTTGCACATCGATCACGGATATTTATTATACAATTTAATATTAAATATGTAACAAAAATAATGGTTCAGAATGCTGCACGTTGATTTTAAACATTTGTGTATAAATATTTTATTTCTTCGTTTTTGAAATACGTGTACCGTATATTAGCACATCCAACCGCAAGAAGTTTGTTATCAAACGGATACTAATGATTACACAGTCGTATCGTTTCTTTATGTTCTTCCAGAAAAGGAAAATGGTCGGCGAATCAACGTCGACCCAAGTATTACGTGACTTGGAGATATCCTTACGCACAAATCATATTGAGTAAGTGAATCTGGCACGTATTTAATCGTTATAATAATAATTTATTGTTTATTTGCCATTTTGATTATTAATTTACGTCGTCTATGTTTGATTGTACTGGTTGTGCCCGCTGTGTGCCAGTCTAATAGACGTGCCGTTTTAACTATTTTATAAAAAAAAAAAATCTTTAAAACTGGTACTTGACTGTCTTTAACAACGACAATATTGGTATTTTTTCTTTTAAATATTTTTAACAAGTATTTTCAAACGAGTGTAAATTCAAAGTCTTGGAATTTAGAATTTTCCAAGTGCTTGTACTTTTTTAATATAACAAAATAGGAAGAAGATTGAACGTACATCCACTTTTCATTTTGTGCCACGTACACGTCAAGTCCATTGTATTAATCATTGATCGCATAAATAATTATACCAATAAAATTCAGTGTACAAGTTTATTTGTTTGTGATTCAAGACTTTTTTCGAAAAACCTGTATTCTGAGCTGAACAGTATTATACAGATGGGTGAGGGAGTTCTTGGACGAAGAAAATCAAGGCCTGGATGCCTTGATAGACTATCTCAGCTTCAGGCTATTGATGATGCGGCATGAGCAACGACTGTTGGAATCGCACACAAGTTCCGAGGAAAAATTACAAACCGGTAAGAAATTGATTAGAAAGCCAAAAAAGCAAAAAATCAGAGAATCCATTTTAGCCCGTTAGAGAATCATAATAACGTAGGTACGCATTCTAATCTGTTGGAATTGATAACGAGTGTAAGATTTCTACGTGCGATAAACTGTGGAGTAGGAGTAGATAATTTATATATCACAGGTCAAATTCCATATACATAATTTATCTAGAAAAATTAATATTTTCTTGCTTTTCGTTATAGTTATAACGTGCTGCGATAATATTATTGGTAAAAGTTACATATTACCCGTGGAAAATATCTGTCTTTTTGTAAAGATTATTAGAATGAATATTATATTTGTAAGATTAATAAATATTAATACTTTTGTGACAAACTATGGCTTATCGTAGATTAAAAACATGTTCGATAATAATATTAACACAGCGGGCACTGGCGATACCTCACCATTAAACAACGGATGCTTGAGGCCACCTCTCCACGATCTCAAAGACAGTCCTGGGGTCAAAAGGAGATCTCGACACGTGGCACGTTTAAATATGGGTGAAGCAAAGGATGATATTCATGTTTGCATACTATGCATGCGTGCCATCATGAATAATAAGGTGAATATCAGTTCCGATAAACTTGCGTGCTTCTCAAGTTTAAAATTCTTTGCAAAGCAGATATTTGTGTATCCTTAATTTTTTTTTCAAATGATACATAAATATATTCTGATATAACGTACATTCACATAATACAACATATGTATAAGCACATCCATATTATCGCCGGCGTATAATAAAATAAATATTTATATCGATTTTTTACAGTACGGATTTAATATGGTTATTCAACACAGAGAAGCCATCAATTGCATTGCATTGAGCTTAATTCATAAAAGTTTGAGGTGAGTCACGTATTGTCTATTATCTATTATTGTCTCGTATTTCTTAGAAAGTCTATGACATTTATAAACGTGTGAAACAATATCCGTAATGTGTACGCCGTAACAACTTGTTAGTCATTCATTTTATATTCAAATGAATGACTAACAAGTTGTTGCTTCATCACATCCTGAATGGATTATCGTTAATCTTTTTATACGTCACATTATTTCAAATAAATGCTTCCATGGTTTAGCCCATCATTGTAATAAATGCACTGTTCTCTCAGGACGAAAGCTCTAGTATTGGAGCTCCTCGCTGCAATCTGCCTAGTGAAGGGTGGCCACGAGATCATTTTGTCAGCGTTTGATAACTTCAAAGAGGTGTGTTCCGAGAGGAGAAGATTTACGACACTTATGGCATATTTCACTCAATATGACAGCTTCCATATAGAGTTTATGGTCGCTTGTATGCAGTTTGTCAATATTGTCGTACATTCGGTCGAAGACATGAACTTTAGAGTTCACTTGCAATATGAGTTCACGAAGCTTGGATTAGACGAATATCTCGAGAAGCTTAGACACACAGAGAGCGAAGATTTGCAGGTCAGTTAACGCAACGGCGTATGATGAAATTTTAATGAACAATGCACAGATCACGAAACGATCAAATCAAAATCAAGATGTCTGTTGTTCGCTGCAGTTTACAAAACTCGCTTATTATATTATACATTCTATTTTAAAAAATTTTCACCAAAAAGATGCAGTAGTGGATCGTACGTGATGGCGTGGTTTTTATTTTAGATGATTTGAATATTAGAAATAATTTTTACGGATGTTCTCTACACGTCACATGCCATGACCATTACGTACTGCGTACGTATATGTGTCAAGTTAATATAGTGTACGCAAGAGCTAACTATAAAGCCATGAAAATAAAATAGACATGTACAAACACTTTTAAAGTAAATAACACGCGATATGTGTATAATAACAGAATAGAAATAATTATACAACGAATGACATTTTTGATCGTGCGTCGGGCAGACGTTTACGCCTAATAATAATTTTTTCGAATTTTATCACGTTCATCTTCATGCTTTTGGGTGGCGTGTCATATGTTGACTCGTTTTTTTAGGTTCAAATCTCAGCTTACCTAGATAACGTATTTGATGTAGCTGCCTTAATGGAGGACAGTGAAACAAAGACTGCAGCATTGGAAAAAGTAGCGGAATTAGAAGACGAACTTGGTCATGTAAGCGATATAAACTTTCTTATGCTATTTTTTCTATTATTAACGTATAAAGCTACTAGAGAAAGTAGGAAAAGTAGGTTAAAATAAACACATTTATCCATAGATTCACGTTACACAAATGACTTGATATCGAAAATGCACCAGATTATAAGCTTGCTGTATACTTTTCGTTCTTTATACATTACTGTTATATAATATTATGTTGCAATATACGTTGTTAAAAAATTATTCACATCGATATTTATCTGTTGACGCGTGTCCGTACGTGATTGTTTTTGACACACACACACAGGCACATGATCGTATGGCAGAATTAGAAAGAGAATCATTAGCGAAATTGGCGGAACTGGAGACGGAATTAGGCGCGATCAAGGTGGAATATACCGAGGCTTTGGAAGCGCGTAGATTAGTGGAGGAAGAACTCGCGGCTTTGAAGAGGCAGAGACAGGATTCTGCACGAAGGCAGAGTGTCCTAGAGAACAAGATCATCGAACTGGAAACTCTCACGGGAACGCTTACAAAGGGCTCATCAGGTATATTACTCGCCAGATTAACAGTATTTATATTCAAGTAATAGGCGGTATGTGTAAAGTGAAATCTCGTGCAAACGCCTGTTTGATCTTTCAGCCGCTAGTCTACGAAATGGCACCGCGACGAGTCCTCTGAGTACGTCGGATAACGTTACATTACCCGAGACGTTCGCCTCAACTGCACCGTCGTCGCCAACATTACGTGAAACTCTCCCAGCGGCTCCCGCACCACCACCTCCACCCCCGCCACCGTGTCCGCCGCCGCCTCCTATGGCACCTCTTTCCCTGGGAGATCACAAGTTACCACCGCCTGTCCCGATACCTCCACCACCAGCTGGCATGATGCAAGCACCCAATGGAGCAATGACTATCAAACGAAAAGTATATATATATTTCGTTGGTTCTACGTTTCGACATTGTATCAAGATGTAAAAATATCGATTATAAATGAGCATGTAAGGTCGTCGAGGTGGAGTTGCGAAGATTATCGAATGCGTGAGAGAACATAATATGTTTTTCTACGACAAAATTAATTATTACGATAAAAGCAACAAAATAGCGATATACGTATTATGAGAAAACCGCGTATTACATTTTTTGGCAGCAAGAAACGTATTGTATCGTTTTATTTGCTTTTTTCTTGGCTTGTTTTGATTTAATGCGAGCGTACGTTTTTTTATTCAGGTCCAAACAAAGTACAAACTTCCTACACTTAATTGGATCGCTCTGAAACCTAATCAAGTACGGGGTACTATTTTCAATGAGTTGGACGACGATCGTTTGCACAACCAAATCGACTTTTCCGACTTTGAAGAGCGATTTAAGATCGGCATGAGTGGACACGTGGCCAACGGTAACAATGAAATCGATGGACTTTCAAGCTTTCCGAGTAAACGATTCAAGAAACCTGAAAACGTATCGCTTTTGGAGCACACGAGATTACGAAATATTGGTAAATAAACTTCGATCTATGACCGATGCTCTAGCGTGATATATATGTGAAAACAGATTCGTCACTTGATTCTCACTGTTTTTCCAACTTTAGCTATATCGCGCCGAAAAATGGAAATGCCGGTCGAGAAAGTAATAATGGCGGTAAATGCTCTCGACTTGAAAGTCCTTTCGCTCGAAAATGTAGAATTATTGCAACGTATGGTACCTACGGATCAAGAAGTACGCTCTTGTTCTACATTTAATATAAATATTATTGTTACTAAAAGATTTTTACAGCATTAAGAAAATAATAAAAATTAATTTCAGATCAAGGCTTACCGCGAATATATTATAGAAAAGAAGAACGTCAATTTATTGACGGAAGAAGATAAATTTTTGATGCAACTTGGTAAAGTGGAAAGGATATCTACCAAGTTGTCCATTATGAACTACATAGGAAACTTTTTCGACAATTTACATCTCATTACGCCACAAATACACGCTGTGATATCTGCATCCAGTTCGGTTAAGAGTTCAAAGAAGTTAAGATCAGTATTAGAAATTATTCTTGCCTTCGGTAACTACCTAAACAGTAGCAAACGGGGCCCCGCGTACGGCTTCAAGTTACAAAGCTTAGATACATTATTAGATACGAAATCGACCGATAAAAGGATGTGCCTTTTGCATTATATCGTCGCCACAATACGAGTCAAGTTCCCTGAACTTATTAATTTTGAATCGGAGTTGATGTACATCGACAAAGCTGCGACAGGTATGTGCTTACCGTATTTACGTAGCTATTAGAATATTAATGCTAGGTGAATGGAATTATAATATATGACAAATAAAACTGACCCCTTTGTATTTATACCTGCAAAATTATATATTAATTTCAGTTTCACTGGAGAACATTACGACCGATGTTCACGAACTGGAGAAAGGTATGGATCTTGTGCGAAAAGAATTTGAGTTACGCGGCAAAGAAAAGCACAATACGGTATTGCGCGACTTTTTGAACAATTCCGAGGAGAAATTACGCCGTTTGAAACTTGACGCACGTACCGCCGGTGAAGCATTCCGTGAATGTGTCGAATTCTTTGGGGAAAGTCCGAGACAGGCTGATGCCAACACCTTTTTCTCCCTTCTTGTCAGATTCGCGAGAGCGTTTAAGGTGCGTTAATAGTTGTGTGTTTTATTAGATGTCAAAGTTTTTAACGTGTATCGTATCGCACGTTTGTTAAGAGAGAGTACATATGTATATTAAATAATAAAATGCACGACGTTATAGGCAGCGGATCAAGAAAACGAACAGCGTCGTAGATTAGAGGCTGCTGCAGCAGAAGCTTTAAATACGTCCGAAGAAGTTATAAAGCGTAACAAATTAAATCAGAAGAAACAACAGGTATGTCATGCATTTTTAATGTTTTACTTTTGTGTATCAACACGTATCAACTCAGATTAATGAACAAGGTCAAAGCACCTATATCTTTTTACTTAAATTATTTGTATATCTAGCATGTGCGCTATTCTAAAAATATGAGTTTAAAAACATCTTTAATGTATGCATCTTTTACGATCTATAAACGTATTATTGCACGTGCAAAAATTACCTATTATTCTGTTTAATATAAAAAGCATTTTTTTGTAAAAAACGTCAATCATTTATATTTTAGCATTTATGTTTCTTCCATAATATCCTATTCTCCTGTACGTGTGTAGTTTTGTGATTTACTACATATTATTTCGTGCGTTAAACTAAACGAGTCTGATGATTCTATTACTATAAACTTGCTCCACTACTGATTTTTTTTTATTCTTTGAATCAAGAAAAATTCAAAATAATATTTATATATCCCATCTATTGGTTGGATACGTTCCCTTCCGTTAAATATAACCTATTTATTTTAATTAGACTTGATACCGCAATAGTGTGATGGTTGAAATTTTTATTGATCATATATATATATATATATAATATGTTATCATTTATATTTGTCTGAGCTTCTCTCCTACAACATCAATGCTGTAGATGCATTTAAAATTAACATTCATCGTATCACGCAACATTATAATCACTACTTATGTAAGAAAATGGAAAATAAATACACAAAGCATTAATTTCTTTGCATGTTGTGAAGTAGCATGACATTTTACAGGCATTATAAACGATTGAAACAAGGATTCTGAGAGTCTCACGCGTGCCTCTTATAGTTGATCCATTTCTTAAACACTATAGATTTATAAACATTTGTTTTCTTATTTGTTACATATTTATTTGGATTTAAAGTCACCGAAATTTTGCTGTAACTCGAACAAGAGTCTGTTACATCGCCACCTTAATGAACTGGAGCTCAGAACATAACAATGTAGAAACAATTCACAACATGTAAGTCTGTCCTCGCTCACTTTCTTGTATTAACGTATGATTTTTAATATCTGTACATACACATATTACATATAACATGTAAAAATTTGATTACCATCAAACTTGTTCCCTACACACACACACACACACACAAGAGGTATGTAAAATAATTATAGTTTTTTATAAAAAAGAATTATTTTTACCTCAAAACTATCAAGTACCATATCAAATCTATTATAGTTTCGGAGAAATTTTACTTGAACACTGATTACGCATTCTACACTACACATTGATTTCAATTGAATACTCTTTGTATATATACGTTGTCTTTACATCACATATGTATACTAGTAACGATACATCATAGTATGCATTCGCATGTTTTAGCTCGCATTGATGTTGGCTGAGAGAATTCTTCTATTATCGGTTTTCCTTTACTGCCATAAAGTTTCATGTACCGTTCGAGTTAATCGAGTATGAGTAACGCCACTTCTGCATAAATAGATGTGTTGATAAATTTTTCTTGATTTGAACTTGAATTAATTAATGGCAAAAATTTTGCATTTTCTTTTATTTGTTAATAAACATATGTATATATTAATATAATAAACTTTGCATAGCAATATTTTTAAGGTATATCGTTATAAATGGACATTTTTTAAATATAAATATTTTGAATATTTTCTGTAATAATTAATATTCTATTATATATCGTCAGGATGCTGTTATAAACGAACTGAAGAATAAGACACGATTAGTGCAAGAGAAGAAGCTACTACAACAAGATGAAGTGTATAATGGTGCCCTAGAGGATATTCTTCTTGGTCTCAGGTCCGAACCATATCGCAGAGCGGATGCTGTAAGACGTAGCCAACGACGACGTATCGATAATCACAGACTCTCGCGCACTGCCGAAGAGCTTGAACTGTAATCTTTTTGCATTTCCGATTTATACGCATTTCTAAGGTTTTCTATATTCCAGAGAACGACGTTGCCTTGCAATATAAAAGTTTCATTGTAATTTAGCTTTAGACGAATGGGACGCAACAGAGAACACCAATAGTTTGAGAATACTTTTGAAAATATTAACAGCGTGCACAACTAGATAGTCACTTGAATATATTCTCCGAATTTTTGAAAACATTTTACTTATATATATGTATATATGAGCTACTTTGCTATAAACATACAAATTCGGAACTGAACGACAATATATTCAGTACGTACAATTAGATGAGGCTTTTGTGCTCGAATTGTATTAGTGGTGCTGAAAGTCCAATAGTCATATAAACTTGTAATTTACACAGCTTTAGGATATAAATTTTTCGAATATAGTATTTATCACAAGGCGATAGATTTTGAAAAACGCGCGATATTTCGTACATTTGACGATCCTTCTATGCATAGTTTATATGAATCTCGCAATTAAAGACACAGAAGGTTCTCTCAAGTTAGCATAATATTATATTAATTAAGGCACTTTTTACTATTTTTCTCTAGATAATATTAGATTTCCTTTAAACCGTTCATGACATTTACATAAAATTTGCTTATACTTTGATTACACTATTACTTGATTTCATTTTTTTGTTCGATATATATATATATGAAATACGTAAACGTAGAATTGTTTAAATTTAGTTGTTGTTGATTGTTATATGTATTAAAATATTTATAATTTTCATATGAACTTGAAGTCCCCGTTAATTAAATTAATTGTTTATATCCTATATTTTGTACGTGCTTAATATCAAATGGACAAAGTCATATAACTCGTAACGTAAGTTTGTGTGTAAAGTCAGTGTCTAGCAGCTGCAGATTTTAATAAATCAATGACATGGTATTTGTGACATTCCACCCGATATGTAATAAGCTGGGAAAACTTGCTACGGAATTGCAAAAGTTCCATCAGCTTACAAGCAAATGTACACAATTTAAAATAAATGTTTATACTTTTTTTTTTCGTATTACGAGTCATGAAAATGTATCTTCTCTCACAACCAATAATAAAATCAAGACGATATGTTACAAAGTGATAATTGACTATACATATTTGTCATAACAATATGCGTTACAATATATCGCAGAAAATTATGACAAATATGTATAGTCAATTAGCAATTGGGAGGGGGGGGGAGAGAGAGAGAGAGAGAGAGAGAGATATCTTGGTTGTCTCTTGAAAACATTTCGAAAATAATTTTGCAGCATATTACTTGATTACATTCCTCGAATACGCGTATATACAAGAACCTCAAGAATATATATTGTAATACGTAAATACTCAAGTAACTGCACAAGAGCGTTTCGCGTTTCGTACTGTTTAACAATCGATATATATATATATATATATATATATATATATAT